CCCACGCATTCACTCAACATTTCCCAGAATCTCTCTCTCTCCTCTACACTTCTCTCTTCTCCAGGTGCATACACACGCTTACTATAACCCACTTTTCACATCCAATCTTTATTTTACTCCACATAATCCTTGAATTTATGCATTTGTAGTCCCTCTTTTCCTGCCATAGCTTATCCTTCAACATTATTGCTACTCCTTCTTAGCTCAACTCTATTTGAAACCCTGACTTAATCCCATTTAATTCTCTCATTTGAATTATCCCTCTCCTTCAAGCTTTGTTTCACTTAATAGCTGGACTCCAGTTTCTTTCTATTCATTAACATCCACATCATCTCTTTTTTCCTTGAACACTCCATGCCATTCAGACTTTGCTACTTGACAATTTCTCGTTTATTCTTTTTAGTAATCTTTACAGTATAGGGGCTTACTAGCCATTGTCCGGACATTTTCAGTTGACTTTACATACTCGTGGCTTTACTGGAGTAGATTCTTATGTAACTTACCTGGCCCATTAAGGATTTAGTATTTAAGACCAGAATTTAAGGAAATTATTCAATGATATATAAGAAGATGACTGATATTAAGATAAATGAAATGAAAATCTGAGGGTGGTTGAATCTGTGAGTATGGAGTGTGATAAGTGTAAGTAAGTACAGGTCCTGTACTTGCATTTATGGATCAGACAAAAGATACCAGTCCACATGTACCATAGGCTTTCATGGGTTACATTGGCTGGACGGAGGGGTCTCGCTGGGGTGGTACCGGGTGACTACTAAGGGGGGTGGGAGGTATATATTACGTAGTATGTTTGGTGTGGTATTAGTGGTTTGTGGTGTTATTGTGGTGTGTTATGTGGTGGTGGTGGTATTGTGGTGGTGGTGGTATGTTGGTGTGTGGTATGTGGTTGGTCGTGGTCCTCGTGGCTCGTGGTGGTCCTGTGTGGTGGTCTCTGGTGCGTGGCGTCCATGCAGCCACGTCAACCAGAAGACCACGAACTACTCTCAACGCTCACCTACGAACCCTCCCAAGTACCCTCACCCATCACGCACCAGTCCCTCCGACTCAGCCACGCGACCGACGCCCCAGCCCTCCACACGCAATCACTAGCACGCCCCTCAAAAGCCTCACGAACAACGCTCCTGACATGCACGAAGCACGAACCGAATCGAAGCAAAGCTCTCACCCGCCACATGCACAGACGAGCAAGCACACATCGAAGAATAGTCCCCAGCAGCTAAGTCAAACGACCTACTTGCATGCCACTCCCACAAGCACTCCTCATACCTCAGACTACCCGCCCCAGAACCCCTCAACTACCCTCCCCCACCTATACCTCTCCTCACAGTCACCCCCCACCGCACTCCCTCGCCACCCCTCCAAACCTCACAACGTCACCACACTTCGACCGACACGAAGCACACCCCTCATCACACGAAGACCAGAAAGCAAAGAAGCAAGAAGAAGCCAAACGAGAGAAACGAAGAACAGAAGAAGAAGAAGGAAAGAAGAAGGAGAAGAAAGAAGAAAGAGACAGAAGACAGCAAGAAGACGAGCAGACAAGAAAGAAGAACGAAGAAGAAGCACGAAGACAGTAAGAAGAAGAAGAGAAAAGAAGACGAAAGAAGAGAAGACGAGAACAGAAGAAGAAGACGAAGAAGAGAAGCGAGCAAGAAGAACAAGAAGACATAAGCAAGACAAGGAGGAGAGACAGAGAAGTGAGCAACAAAGAAGAAGAGATAAGAGCAAGAAAGAAAGAAGACAAGAATATTAGACGAATAGAAGAAAACACAGCAAGAGAAGACAAAAAATGAAGAAGAAGATAGACAGAAGTCACCAAAGACTAAGAAGACGATACAAGACCAAACAAGAACTACGCAAGACGCATCAGAAAGACACAAGACAGAATCGACACGAACACACAGCCAAGAAGAAGCTCTCAACGCCACCGAAGACGAACGAATGAACTGACGAGACTCCCTCGAAGCAAGAACGCAAGTCCAAAACCGCAACCCAGTAGCTCACGTCGACCCAGATCACTATCCGCACACGTCCACTACCCGCACGAAGACACCCACGACCCTCCCCCGCAGCACTACCAAGACATCCCCACTCAGCAACCGAAGACACGCCAACCCCCAAGCAAACTCACGCCGAGACGAAGCTCCCACTCCCCGCACCTCCACGCCCATCTACCCTACCCTCCCTGACACCTCAGACCATCTCCATCCTCCCTCCTCACCTACCTCAGCTCCCCTACTCCTCCCCACTCCTCCACCTCGCTCCGCTCATCCCCCCCCCTCATCCTCCCCACCTCCTCCTCCCTCCTCCTCCCCCCTCCCTCTCCTTCTCCTCCTCCTCCTCCTCCTCCCCTCCTCCCTCCTCCTCCCTCTCCTCCCTCCCTCCTCCTCCTCTCCTCCCTCCTCTCCTCCTCTCCCTTCCTCCTCCCTCCTCTCCCCCTCCTCCTCTCCCTTCCTCCTCCCTCCCTCCTCCTCCTCCCCCTCCTCCCCTTCCCTCCCTTTCCCTCCTCCTCCTCCTCCCTCCTCCTCCCCTCCCTCCTCCTCCCTCCTCCCTCCTCCTCCTCCTCCTCTCCCTCCTCCTCCTCCTCCTCCTCTCCTCCCCTCCTCCTCCCTCCTCCTCCTCCTCCTCCCTCCCCTCCTCCTCCTCCTCCTCCTCCTCCCTCCTCCTCCTCCCTCCTCCTCCTCCCTCCCTCCTCCTCCTCCCTCCTCCTCCCTCCTCCTCCTCCTCTCTCCTCCTCTCTCCTCCTCCCTCCTCCTCCTCCCTCCTCCTCCTCTCCAAAACATTGCTGGGACCTATAAATACTTTGTTTATATTCCAAGACAATAGTAAATGGCTAAGGCAGGTGTAAATGTCCACCTGTCAATGTCTTTGTGACAATTTGAGTACAATTTCAGTACCTAATACTAGTATCAGAACAAAGATTGGTTATAAAATGACAAGAACTACTACAAATTGTAATTATCAGAACATAAAAATTACATAAAATAATATGAAAAATAAAAAAAAAAAGGTGTATCGGCAACACTTCCGCAAGCAGCAGGACTCGATGTTGCTGTCACATGAGCATCCAGTGCCAACTTCTCGGCCTCGTATCTCAGTAAGTACTGACCCTAATTTTTTTTTATTTTATAACACTTAGAAAAAGGTGCTCTTTTTTTTCCTATAAAAAAAACATTTTTTTTTTTTTCAAAATATTCGGGGCGCTGTGCGAGTGAACGTATATATACGTTTGGACCGTTTAAGGGTTAAGGTAACAGTTATAAGTGTTTGTGTTTGCCTTCTAATTACAGTGGAACCTCGGTTGTCAATTGCATCACTTGTTGTATAAATTGGTTTTTAACCCTTAAATTGTCCAAGCAAATCTACATTCACATGCATAGCTCTCCAAAAGTAGATCTACATTTCTTTTACATATTTTCAAATATAACAAAAAAAAAAAAAGTAGCTCAAAGTTTTTTTACACATTTTCAAATCTAAACAAACACAAAGAAGATCTACTTTTTTACTTACTTTCAAATGTTGAAAAAACGTAGATCTACGTTTGGACAGTTTAAGGGTTAATGAGGTGTTTTTTGTGCATTCTCTTGGTTGTAGGCAGACAAATTTTTACTTGTACGGAAAGGGATAAAGCGGCTTAGGTCATGTGCTCACGGAATGTGCACTAGACAGAGTCGAGAGCTTGGAAAACGAGTTGCTGGGGGAGTTCAGTTTTATAACTATGAAGTTCTTGCCTCCTAACACCACTCCTCTCATCCAGCCCATGGACCAGCAAGTCATTTCTCACTTTAAAAGACTCTACTCCAAAGCCCTTTTTGAAAGGTGCTTTGAAGTCACTTCGGGAACAAATTTAGTCCTCATGGAGCTCTGAAAGGACCATTTCAGTATCCTCATCTGCTTGAGGCTTATAGACAAAGCCTGTGGGAATGTGTCTTCCAGGATCATGCAGTCAGCATGGAAGAAATTGTGGCCTGATTTTGTGGCAGCCAAGGATTTTGAAGGCTTTGAAGATGAGCCTGAGCCACTAAGGGTTATTATGTCCCTGGAGAAGTCCTTGGACCTAGAAGTGACTGAAGATGATGTGGAGGAGTTGGTGGAGGAGCATAGAACTCATCTCACCACAGAAGACCTTGTAGACCTTCATAAGCAGCAGCAACAGATTGCAGCGAGGAGCTGTCATCAGAGGAAGAGGGAAGGGATGTTTTGCCCAGTGCACTTGTCAAGGAAATGTGTGCTAAATGGCATGAAGTACAGGAGTTTGCTGAAAAATATCATCTAGACAAAGCAGTGACCATCCCTGTCTCTCTGACATGTACTGTGACAGTGTAATGTCTCAATTTAGACAAGTGTTAAAAATGAGTCTGTAACAAACCTCACTGGACCAGTTTTTAGTGAGACAAAGAACCTTTGAGCTGGAACAAGGTGTTAGTGGTGAAAAGAGACAAAGAAGAGAAACAACACCAGAAGGACAGTTGCCTGACATATTAATAGAAGAAGACTGTCCTTCCAAGCAGTAACATTCCTCCCTCCTCTCCTCTACCTCCTCCTTCCAGTGTGCCATTAGCTCACCTCTGATAGGTAAGGGGCAGTTAAATTTTTGTTTACTGTACAGTATTTCAGTTAAATTTTTACTTACTGTACATTATTTCAGTTGCATTTTTATTTAGTGTGTTCATTTTTAGTTTCCCTGTGCTGTATAATTTTATACATTGTTCTGTGTAGCAGTTAGTATATCATTAATATTATTATATTGTCATATGGGGTCTGGAATGGATTAGTTCTATTTATGTATTCTTTATGGGAGAAATTGCTTTGGTTGTCATTGATTTTGGTTGTCGAATCGATATCTGGAATGAATTAAATTCAAAAACCAAGGTTCCACTGTATGTGATTTATCATTGTTGATGATTGAGTGTTAATGATATATTCATTATTGATAATTGGAATATTACCTTGATGAAGTTTTCATTTTTCTGCATTATTAGGCTTGCCAGCTGCCAAGGCACACATCACCATTAAGAAGCGTTTATCATCTCTGCCCGAGGAAGAGAAAAGTATCTTGATAGCCAAGTATGAAGGAGCAGAAACATCAGATGTACAAGTACAAAATAACATTTTAATGATGCTGCTGAGAGCTCACTTTGAGAATAAGCAAGCCATGCATTCTCACACTGCCCTTCCTGGGGGTGGAGTCAAGTGAGTCCTGTCATATACAATATTACAATTACCAGTGAATGCTGAAACTGTAAATAATACTCTTAATAAAATAATTATGAAAATGTACATTTGAACTCTCAAACATTCATGTGTGTCCTATACATATGCAGGTGTATGCAAGGGAGACATGGATACATTCATTCATTTTTCTCTCTCTACCATCAGGCCAGATTATGTAGGCTCTAATTTGGAATCTTCCCTTCGCCGGGCTAAGAAAAGCTTGACAACATCTTTCAATCAACTTCTAAAGAGAGAAGGCCGAGAGAGTGAGAGTGCAGAGAGAGAAATTGCAAGTGATGAGGTAAGTCACCTGGTCATTAAGTGCTAGCAATCACTAGATGAGAAAATTATTCCAAAAGCATTGCACATATACAGTGCTCATCATTAAAGTAATAACCTCCTTTTGTAGGTTTGTTGATGAGACTGAAAGTTATTCTGGCCTGGCAACTTAAAGCAGAATATCTCAGAATTCCCTAAGACTACTGGCTATATCCTTAGTTTCTTGTAGACTTGGATGGTGGATAGATTTGTGTTCATGTTCCCCCTCTGCTGTGTAGTGTTGAATGCCAAGTTTGCAGCCCATCTTCTTAACCACAGATGTCATAGCAGAAGCCATCGATGTGTGAGAGTCTAGTGAGGACCTGGATAACATGCACACATCAAATGCACATCCAGGGAAGCCTAGAAAAATGTCCCCATTAACACTAACTATAATATAAAAATTGTTCTGTTATCACTTGTCCGAATATTTCACGCATTGTGGTGCAATGATTCTTATGGAAGACGGTGCTCCTTGTCACACCTTGAAATCTTTTGTGCAGTGACTGTGTGCTTGCAAGATACCATTCTTTCAAACAATAATTTACTTGAGCTTCATGTATTTCACTTTGATAATAAAAAATTAGCTTTCACTAGCACAGTCCTTTATGTATTAGAATTAGTATAAGTATTAGTATCAGTACATATTAGTATCAGTATATTAGTATCAGTATTAGAATGTGGAGCAGAAGTTTGTGGTTATAGGAGGGTGGGGGCAGGAGGAAAGAGGAGTGATTGGTGGAATGATGAAGTAAAGGGTGTGATAAAAGAGAAGAAGGTAGCTTACGAGAGGTTTTTACAAAGCAGAAGTGTTAAAAGAAGAGCAGAGTATATGGAGAGTAAAAGAAAGGTGAAGAGAGTGGTGAGAGAGTGCAAAAGGAGAGCAGATGAAAGAGTGGGAGAGGCACTGTCAAGAAATTTTAATGAAAATAAGAAAAAATTTTGGAGTGAGTTAAACAAGTTAAGAAAGCTTAGGGTAAGTATGGATTTGTCAGTTAAAACAGGTAGGGGAGTTAGTAGATGGGGAGAGGAAGGTATTAGGTAGATGGCGAGAATATTTTGAGGAACTTTTAAATGTTGAGAAAGAAAGGGAGGCAGTAATTTCATGCACTGGCCAGGGAGGTATACCATCTTTTAGGAGTGAAGAAGAGCAGAATGTAAGGGTGGTGGAGGTACGTGAGGCATTACGTAGAATGAAAGGGGGTAAAGCAGCTGGAACTGATGTGATCATGACAGAAATGTTAAAAGCAGGGGGATATAGTGTTGGAGTGGTTGGTACTTTTGTTTAATAAATGTATGAAAGAGGGGAAGGTACCTATGGATTGGCGGAGAGCATGTATAGTCCCTTTATATAAAGGGAAAGGGGACAAAAGAGATTGTAAAAATTATAGAGGAATAAGTTTACTGAGTATACCAGGAAAAGTATACGGTAGGGTTATAATTGAAAGAATTAAAGGTAAGACAGAATGTAGGATTGCGGATGAGCAGGGAGGCTTCAGAGTGGGTAGGGGATGTGTAGATCAAGTGTTTACATTGAAGCATATATATATATTTTTTTTATTATTATCACACTGGCCGATTCCCACCAAGGCAGGGTGGCCCGAAAAAGAAAAACTTTCACCATCATTCACTCCATCACTGTCTTGCCAGAAGGGTGCTTTACACTACAGTTTTTAAACTGCAACATTAACACCCCTCCTTCAGAGTGCAGGCACTGTACTTCCCATCTCCAGGACTCAAGTCCGGCCTGCCGGTTTCCCTGAACCCCTTCATAAATGTTACTTTGCTCACACTCCAACAGCACATCAAGTATTAAAAACCATTTGTCTCCATTCACTCCTATCAAACACGCTCACGCATGCCTGCTGGAAGTCCAAGCCCCTCGCACACAAAACCTCCTTTACCCCCTCTCTCCAACCATTCCTAGGCCGACCCCTACCCCGCCTTCCTTCCACTACAGACTGATACACTCTTGAAGTCATTCTGTTTCGCTCCATTCTCTCTACATGTCCGAACCACCTCAACAACCCTTCCTCAGCCCTCTGGACAACAGTTTTGGTAATCCCGCACCTCCTCCTAACTTCCAAACTACAAATTCTCTGCATTATATTCACACGCATATATGTGAACAGTATTTAGATAAAGGTAGGGAAGTTTTTATTGCATTTATGGATTTAGAAAAGGCATATGATAGAGTGGATAGAGGAGCAATGTGGCAGATGTTGCAAGTATATTGAATAGGTGGTAAGTTACTAAATGCTGTAAAGAGCTTTTATGAGGATAGTGAGGCTCAGGTTAGGGTGTGTAGAAGAGAGGGAGACTACTTCCCGGTAAAAGTAGGTCTTGGGACAGGGATGGTAATGTCCCCAGGGTTTTGTTTAATATATTTATAGATGGGGGTTTTAAAGGAAGTAAATGCTAGGGGGTTCGGGAGAGGGGTGGGATTAAATTTTGGGAATCAAATTCAAAAAGGGAATTGACACAGTTACTTTTGCTAATGATACTGTGCTTATGGGAGATTCTAAAGAAAATTGCAAGGTTAGTGGATGAGTTTGAGAATGTGTGCAAAGGTAGAAAGTTGAAAGTGAACATAGAAAGAGTAAGGTGATGAGGGTATCAAATGATTTAGATAAAGGAAAATTGGATATCAAATGGGGAGGAGGAGTATGGAAGAAGTGAATGTTTTTAGATACTTGGGAGTTGACGTGTCGGCGGATGGATTTATGGAGGTGAGGTTAATCATAGAATTTATGAGGGAAAAAAGGTGAGTTGTGTGTTGAGGTATTTTTGGAGTCAAAAAACGTTATCTATGGAGGCAAAGAAGGGGAAAGTATGAAATATAGTAGTACCAACACTCTTATATGGGGTGTGAAGCTTGGGTGGTAAATGCAGCAGCGAGGAGATGGTTGGAGGCAGTGGAGATGTCCTGTCTAAGGGCAATGTGTGGTGTAAAAAATTATGCAGAAAATTCGGAGTGTGGAAATTAGGAGAAGGTGTGGAGTTAATAAAAACATTAGTCAGAGGGCAGAAGAGGGGTTGTTGAGGTGGTTTGGTCATTTAGAGAGAATGGATCAAAGTAGAATGACATGGAAAGCATATAAATCTATAGGGGAAGGAAGGCGGGGTAGGGGTCGTTCTCGAAAGGGTTGGAAAGAGGGGGTAAAGGAGGTTTTGTGGGCGAGGGGCTTGGACTTCCGGCAAACGTGCATGAGCGTGTTAGATAGGAGTGAATGGAGACGAATGATACTTGGGACCTGATGATCTGTTGGAGTGTGAGCAGGGTAATATTTAGTGAAGGGATTCAGGGAAACCGGTTATTTTCATATAGTCGGACTTGAGTCCTGGAAATGGGAAGTACAATGCCTGCACTTTTAAAGGAGGGGTTTGGGATATTGGCAGTTTGGAGGGATGTGTTGTGTATCTTTATACGTATGTGCTTCAAAGCTGTTGTATTCTGAGCACCTCTGTGTGAGTGTGGTGAAAGTTTTGAATGATGATGAAAGTATTTTCTTTTTGGTGATTTTCTTTTTTGGGTCACCCTGCCTCGGTGGGAGACGGCTGACTTGTTGAAAAAAAAAAATAATAATAATAATAATTATAGGTAGTAGGTTGGTAGACAGCAACCACCCAGGGAGGTACTATCGTCCTGCCAAGTGAGTGTAAAACGGAAACCTGTAATTGTTTTACATGATGGTAGGATTGCTGGTGTCCTTTTTTCTGTCTCATAAACATGCAAGATTTCAGGTATGTCTTGCTACTTCTACTTACACATAGGTCACACTACACATACATGTACAAGCATATACGTATATACACACCCCTCTGGGTTTTCTTCTATTTTTCTTACTAGTTCTTGTTCTTGTTTATTTCCTCTTACCTCTATGGGGAAGCGGAACAGAATTCTTCCTCCGTAAGCCATGCATGTCGTAAGAGGTGACTAAAATGCTGGGAGCAAGGGGCTAGTAACCCCTTCTCCTGTATATATTACTAAATTTGAAAGGAGAAACTTTCATTTTTCCTTTTGTGCCACCCCAGCTCAGTGGGATACAGCTGGTGCATTGAAAGAAAGAAAGAATAATAATAATAATAATAATATTATTATTGTTGAGGTGGTTTGGTCATTTAGAGAGAATGGAACAAAGAATGATTTGGAGAGCTTATAAATCTGTAGGGTAAGGAAGGTGGGGTAGGGGTCGTCCTCGAAAAAGGTTAGAGGGAGGGGGTAAAGGAGGTTTTGTGGACGAGGGGCTAGGATTTCCAGCAAGTGTGCATGAGCCTGTTAGATAGGAGTGAATGGAGACGAATGGTTTTTGGGACCTGACGAGCTGTTGGAGTGTGAGCAGGGTAATATTTTATGAAGGGATTTAGGGAAACTGGTTAGCCAGACTTGAGTCATTGAAGTGGGAAGTACAATGCCTGCACATTAAAGGAGGGGTTTGGGATATTGGCAGTTTGGAGGGACATCTAAACTGTCATATTTGAGCACCTCAGCAAAGACAGTGATTATGTATGAGTGATGGTGAAAGTGTTGAATGATGATGAAAATTTTTTCTTTCTTTTTGGGTCACCCTGCCTTGGTGGGATATGGCTGACGTGTTAAAAAAAAAATCATTATTATGTGGAGGGTGTATAAATCTGTAGTGGAGGGAAGGCATGGTAGGGTTTGTTCACGGAAAGGTTGGAAGGAGGGAGCAGAGGAGGTTTGTATGTAAAGGGCTTGGACAGACATCCAATAAGCTTGTGTAAGCGTGTTAGATAGAGATTGGAGGCAAGTGGTTTGTATGACTTGATGTGCTCTTTGAATGTGAGCAAAGTAACATTTATAAGGGATTCAGGGAAATCAGTTAGCTGGGCTTGAGTCCTGGAGGTGGGAAGTACAGTAGCTGCACTTTGAAGGAGGGGTGGGGTTATTTGCAGTTTGGAGATGCATCTGAACTGTAGCATCACATTTTTTTTTTTTTTAATTACAAGTTCAGTCTTCAAGTGTCTCAGGAAGCATAGCAGAGAAACCTCGTACATCTCCAGTGCCTACACCATCTAAGGTGCGAATGGAAGGATTAAGTGATTCTCCTTTAGGTCATCGACCACGATCTTCCACAGTCAGTTCCTCAGGTGGGGATTCTATGAGACGAGAGTTTTTAGCCAAGCGTTCCCTTGCCAAGCAAAAGATTACCTCAGTGACTGCAGAGGATCACCCTAACTCGCACTTCTCTTCCAAGAGAAACATGTAAGTTACTATCATATATCTTTTGTAGCTTAAATTTATCTCTAGCTGATTGAGCTTAGGGGCTCTTCAAAATAATTTTGTTTGAGTTGCCATGTTATTTAATTTTCCTTAGCAAGAGGGCAAGTTATATATGCAGTTGTTACAATTGCAATTATTTTAAAATTCTTTAATTCATGACATCAGCTTTACCTTGCAATAAATAATTAAAGGTACATTAAATTAAACTTTGTTTAGAAGACATTTGATTGTATTTTACAAAAACAATAGAAATGATCCTGGATGTTGCATTGTGGTACTCATGTGTTAATGGGTAGAGTTGATGAAGAAATGTCACTTATAGCCACATACAGTGGACCCTTGGTTATTGGCTGTAATCCGTTCCAGGAGCTCGGCCTAAAACCGAAATGGCCGAAAATTGAAATAATATTTCCTATAAGAATTAATGTAATTACAATTAATCCATTCGAGACAAAAATATTCACCAAAAATTAATTTTTTAACAAGTCAGTATTACATACCTTTATTGAAGACTAATGCTGGCTTCTGGAATCCCTGCTACACTTCCTGCATGCCTGCTACGCTTCCTGCATGCCTACTATGCTTCCTACATGCCTACTACACTTCCTGCATGCCTGCTGCACTTCCTGCATGCCTGCTATGCTTCCTGCATGCCTGCTACATTCCCTGCATGCCTGCTACATTCCCTGCATGCCTGCTACACTCCCTGCATGCCTGCTACAATTCCTGCATGCTTGCTACACTCCCTGCATGCCTGCTACACTCCCTGCATGCCTGTTACACTCACTACATGCCTGCTACACTCCCTGCATGCCTGTTACACTTCTGCATGCCTGTTACACTTCCTGCATGTCTGCTACACTTCCTGCATGTCTGCTACACTTCTTGCATGCCTGCTACACTCCCTACATGCCTGCTACACTCCCTACATGCCTGCTACACTTACATTCCATGGTGTTTCTCACTTTTTTTACCACAGGAACTTTACTAGGAATTTCTTTGGAGCCATGGTTACTTATACTGCAAAAAAAAACACTAAAAACAATGGAAAACAACCAAAATGTTTGGATGTATGAACAGAAGCTTCCTCACGCCCTGAAGGACACAGCCAAACTGATGTGCAAGTGACCCTAGCCGGTGGACGGACGCGTACGAGACGGCCAATCACCGGGAGCCGAAAAACCGGCTGATCACCGAGTTGGGCGATAACAGGAACGGCCAATAATCGAGGGTCCACTGTACATAAATAACCTATACACAGAAAAGAGAAAAGCTTAAGACAATATTGCAGTCCATCTTGAATTATTCACAAGTCACGTTGATAGAAGAGCGAGTGAGCCAGTATATATAAGGGAGAAGGACATGGACGGGAGAAAGAAAGGAGGAAAAAGAAGTACGTACAGCCTCTCCTCACTTAATGACGGAGTTTCATTCGTAGGACCATGTTGTTAAACGAATTCGTCGCTAAGTAAGGAGCATACTATAATGGTAGTGGGTTTATATCAATCATCTTTGATATTGTTTTAATGTCACCTTTGCACCATTTATAACATTTCTGGTATATTTTTAAATGTTTATACAGTAGTGTACTGTATATTGAAATAAGCAGAATAGAGGAAATCAGCTCTATAATACATTATTTAGGTATGCATACTGGTCAGAGAGCCCGTCGTAAGTCTGAGGCATCAGTAAACGAGTACGTTGCTAAGTGAGGAGAGGCTGTAGTGATAGTGGTAATGTTGGTGGTGGAAATAGGAGTAGTAGTTTATGCCATAACAAAGAGCAAGGGGAGCAAAGGTGGGCAATACTAGTAGTAGTAGTAATATTAGTAGAAAAGGTAAAAGGTAGTAGCAGAAATAGTAGTAAAGGAGTAGTAGTTGTAGTTGCAATAGAAGTGGGTAAGTCTAAGGACAAGAAAAAGGAGCACTGCAGGAGAGCTAAGGGCCCATAAGGGGTATGACCAAAAACATAGGGAAAGGGAGGGGGGGATGAAATTGAAGGACAGATTGCACTAGGCAGAAGAAAAGAAAGAAAAAGGAAATATGGAGAAAAATGTAAGGAGAAGAGGTGGAAGAGAAGAAGGGATCATGTCAAGTCACAAATGTTTTGAAGTTTGGAGCATTTGACAATGTAAGGAGAAAGAAAGGCATCTACACACACAAAGCCAGGACTAAGATTAATACAAGGAAAGCTGTTGTAAGGGATGCTTCAAGAATACAATAGCTGTAAAGGCTAGATGTAGAATAGACTGAGGACCAGTCAATAGGATGACTGTGATCTCTAACATGACAGAAAAGAGCATTATTGGTGGTGGCAAGCCAAACACTTTTTTGTGCTCTTCAAGTCTGTCAGAAAAGGAGTGGCTCGTTTCTCCAAAATATTGAAGGGGACGAGAGGAGCATGAAATAGAGTAGACAGCAGGGGCTTCAGTTGCAAGGGTAGAGTACAAACTAAATTACTGTGAATGGTGTTAGTTTGGTGGAAAGTAAGGTTGATGTGTAAGGAATGGAGAGAGTTGTGGAGATTAGAAAGACACTAGAAATACGTATAGGGAAGGCAGAGAACAGGAGGTTTCTCAGGAGTAGAGAGTTTGGGAGAGAAGAAAGTCTGTTTAGCATGTGAGAAGGCAGAGTTTATGAAATTGGAAGAGTGGAAATTCTTAGTCAAGAACTGAGGAGTCACAAATGTGGAGGCCACAGAGAAAGAGAAATAAGTGCACTTTTCTTGACAGAGGGCGCATTGTAAGAAAAGTAGTGAATGTACATACCGCTATTCATGGGCTTGTGATAAACGGAAAATGAAAAGTCTGGAGTCAAGTGGTGGACATACACATCTAGGAAAGGCAGCATAGAGTTAGATTCCCATTCAGCTTTAAACTTGATGGAAGGAACAAGACTGTTAAGTGCATCAAGAAATGGTTTGAAGAGACCAGAATCATGGGACCAAAGTGTAAAGATGTCGTCTATGTAGCAGAGCCAGAGGGAAAGGCCCACACCAGTAGTAGGAAAGAGAACAGTGTCAAAGTATTCTGTACAAAGATTAGCAAGAATGGGATAGAGAGCCCATAGCAACACTGAAGGTTTGAGAATAAAATTTACCTTGAAAGGAAAAGGTATTAAGAGTCCACACCAAGGCAAATCAGATCAAGAAAGATATTAGTAGGTAGAGGAAGATGTAGTAACCCTTCATTGGCCTTCACTCTGAGAAAATTAAGACCATCATCAAGAGGGATCTTAGTGAAGAGGGACACAACATCAAGACTAAGCATCTTACAGGTCGGGAGAGGGAGAACATGTATGATGAAGTCTTGAGAGTGACGGAGATGAACAGGAGAAAAAGTATCAAGAAAGGGAGTGAGAGTTTTGGCCAGTCTATAGGCATGAGAATGCGAGACAGAACCTCTGGAGGATATGTGTGGGTTATTTGTGTATTCTTCCAGCTATCGTATTGTGCCTTGTTCTTTATAGCTATATGTTGATATCTTTTTTTTTTTTTTTTTTTTTAGCAAGTTGGCCATCTTCTACCGAGGCAGGGTGACCCAAAAAGAAAGAAATTCCCCAAAAAGAAAATACTTTCATCATCATTCAACACTTTCACCTCACACATAATCATTGTTTTTGCAGAGGTGCTCAGAATACAACAGTTTAGATGTATATATGTATAAAGATACACAACATATCCCTCCAAACTGCCAATATCCCAAAACCCCTCCTTTAAAGTGCAGGCATTGTACTTCCCATTTCCAGGACTCAAGTCCGGCTATATGAAATAACCAGTTTCCCTGAATCCCTTCACTAAATATTACCCTGCTCACACTCCAACAGCTCGTCAGGTCCCAAATACCATTCGTCTCCATTCACTCCTATCTAACATGCTCATGCACGCTTGCTGGAAATCCAAGCCCCTCGCCCACACAACCTCCTTTACCCCCTCCCTCCAACCCTTTCGAGGACGACCCCTACCACACATTGCCCTTAGACAGGACATCTCCACTGCCTCCAACCTCCTCCTCGCTGCAGCATTTACAACCCAAGCTTCACACCCATATAAGAGTGTTGGTACCACTATACTTTCATACATTCCCCTTTTTGCCTCCATAGGTATCGTTCTTTCTCTCCACATATAGCTCAATGCACCACTCACCTTTTTTCCCTCATCAGTTCTATGATTAACCTCATCCTTCATAAATCCATCCGCTGATTTGTCAACTCCCAAATATCTGAAAACATTCGCTTCTTCCATACTCCTCTTTTCCAATTTGATATCCAATTTTTCTTAATCTAAATCATATGATACCCTCATCACCTTACTCTTTTCAATATTCACTTTCAACTTTCTGCCTTTACACACACTCCCAAATTCATTCACTAACCTCTGCAATTTTTCTTTTGAATCACCCATAAGCACAGTATCATCAGCAAAAAGTAACTGTGTCACTTCCCATTTTGTATTTGATTCCCTATAATTTAATCCCACCCCCTCTCCCAAAAACCCTAGCATTTACTTCTTTTACAACCCCATCTATAAATATATTAAACAACCATGGTGACATTACACATCCCTGTCTAAGACCTACTTTTACTGGGAAATAGTCTCCCTCTCTTCTACACACCCTAACCTGACCCTCACTGTCCTCATAAAAAACTCTATACAGCACTTAGTAACTTACCACCTATTCCATATACTTGTAACATCTGCCACATTGTTCCCCTATCCACTCTATCATATGCCTTTTCTGAATCCATAAATGTAATAAAAACTTCTCTACCACATATATGCTTCATTGTAAACACCTGATCTACACATCCCCTAACCACTCTAAAACGTCCTTGCTTGTCTGCAATCCTACATTTTGTCTTGCCTCTAATTCTTTCAATAATAACCCTACCATACACTTTTCCTGGTATACACCTACCATCCGACTTACGACCTGCTTGACTTACAACCACTTGACTTACGACCGTGTTTTTTTTTGCCAAATT